CATGTTCTCTTCTGTAGAGGATGTTTGATCTTGCAACTTAGAGGTTAGAGAGATCCAGTCAGCCCAATGTGGAACAATCTGCTTGTCATGAACACATGAACCAGAGAAAGTCAGATGAAACAGCAAAACCCGAAACATTTCCTTTGTCGAAATTTTAGTGTCATCATCATCATCTTACGGCTGTTCTCTTTCTTGAATGACAATTCCGTGTGCACTATGGGTTGTTACTTAGATGGAAAAGGTCCCAGCACAAATGTGTTATCAAATTGCTTATTGCAGTAATTTCATCAGGGAGAACAGTGTCCTGACCAAGAGTAATGTTACACAGTTTCCAACTCCAAAATCTGAGAGTATAACTGACGATGTCCGAAATGATTCATTATATAGTGTCTTATGCTGTCATATGCCGTGTTGCAAAACTTTTTGTATAAATCATAAAACATACATTAACAACTCAAAACTATGTTTAGATCACAAACTTACTCCGTCATAGAGAAGATATCTGAAGAAATTTTATAAAACTTATATAGAAAAAATATGATTCAAGGGGAAATAATCATTTTGTTCTATTGGATTCATGGTAAACATTTCAGCTAAACAACAAGAGCCAATCTCGATAGCGCATACCCTAAGCTTCAATACTATATAGGTGTACAAAATACCCAGGGGGGGGGGGGGGGTTTAGGGGGAGGGGGGGGGTAGCTCTGCGTCTATAAAGTACATACTGAATGTTTACTGAACTATTCATACTGACCTTGACCGTCGTTTTGTGATAAAATATAGTAAATTACGTAAAATATTTATATGTTTATGCAAACTGATATAAAGAATCGTTATTATATAAAGAAGGAAGTGTAAAATGATATAAGATACGATATTTCAATAACAATACAATTATATCTTATTTTGTTGATATCACATTACATTACAATAAGTCAGTTATCATTTTCATTAAAATATATGGAGTTTATTATCTGAAACAGTTTAGTGATAATAAACTGTAAAATTCTTTTTGCGGCTATATCCAATTTAGAGGTATTCAAAAATTGTCTACTTACGTCTGTAAGAAGACACTTTAAGATAACTGTTACTTATTGCAGAGCTATAATTACAAATTTAAAGATGTAACTCTTAAAGGGATACTACGGCAAATCAATGCCAAATATATTAAAATGATCTTATGTACTCAAATCACGCTGAAATGACATTGTTTGAAGTCCCAGCATAAATTTCTGTATAAATTCAGTTTACTTTGGTGTTTGAAACGTAAACATATGTATATATTTTGAACGGCATTTAAATGGCAATAGAATCACCGAATAGTTTTAAAACAAGTCATGTGACTTGAACAAACCCTGGAAGTTACAATAACAGATATTGTGGATATTGTCTGATTGAAACAAGTCTAAGCCATTCATTTGACATGTTCTTTAAGTTTCCAGAGTTCACTGTGACAACTATTGTGAAATCTTAACGCTCTTACCTGACCCACGCGGGTAAAGTTAGGAAACCACCATTTTATTCTTTACACACACACACACACACACACACACACACAAGAAAATTTTGGACATGTGACAGGCTAAAAATGGCCTCAAGTCGATCTTAGGGTAACTAGTAACCGACGCTGAAAAGCCTTTTGCTCTATCCCAATTCATTGAGAAGTTGCAGCACTTTGAAATCAGTTTTGATGGAAAAAAAAACAATGCAAAATAGTGATTTTTGGCAATTTTGAGACGTCCCCCCGTTGCCATGGTAACAGGAAAATTTACCATTGAGCATGCTGTTACAGAGGCTTATGGTGTAGACAACATTTGTGCCAAGTTTCATTAGTATTGAAGCATTTTTCACAGTTTCATAGCAGTTTGAACTTGTTACAGGAGGCTTTTCAATGAAAACGGCCATTTTTCGCAATATGCTCATGGGGTAAAAGGTTTTAAACGAAAAATTATCATCGAAGTGAACAAATCGGTATATATAGAAAAATCGGAAAATATCATTAACGTTTCATTCCTTTTTAATGTTTTAAACTGTAAAAATCGATTACCGTATTGTGTTCTGAATAGCGTTTTAATATTTCATGTTCCAATAAATAGTAACAGTGAACATTATAGCTACAATATCACCATTGTACTATTACATGAGTACCGAAAGTTTGCAGCTCTTTAAGCTTTTGACCGGTATGACTAAATAACGCAACGGAGATTTTTTTTGGCGCAAAATGGCACAAATTTTGTGGTTGGGGGCATGCTGCTTTATATGCTGTTTATTCAAATGATATAAACATATTTTAATGTAAAATCCTGGTCTAAATTTTGTTTGATTAACATACTTTATGCCCATTTGGAAAATGTAGAGGAAATGTTTCCATATACTTACCAAAACATTAACCGAAAATTTGCTTATTGAATTTTACAAGAAACTTTTGATAATAGTTTTAATATATATATCATTTATTTTAAATTTAGTTCTCTTTGTAAAAAAACTATCCCTTATGCGCCAAGAAAAGAGTACATTTCTCCGGCAAATAATCTTTCAAAACATTTAAGAAATGAAGCGTAAAACAAACTTTCATTATGATACTATATTCAATATAATTATATAATAAATTCTATGTTGTAAAATGATAATAATTTGTAACTACTCATTGTGTCTTTTCTCAAATATTTTCGAATTAAACAAATCTTCCACAGCAGCAAAAAGACCTCTCGCGTGCTTCTTTTTAAAGAAGCAAACTTGTATTATTGTGTTCGAGGTCCTTTTTCAAAAATGGCCGCCAACTTAAAAATGGCCGCCATTCTCCTGTTATTTTATTAACATTTTAATATAAACTTTGTGGTTTTGTTTAAAAAAAAGCAAAACATCTCTTAATTATAAAAAAATGTTTGTATAAATATTTTTTCTTGTTCAATTTGGTTCAATTATAATGCTATTAAAAATATAAATTACCCCATTTTTCCAATGTTTGCAATACAGTTTTTTCAGTCACATATCAATAATTACTCGAAATCGTCTTCTAAAATTACATCAATATCAATTTCCATCTCAATTTCCTCTAGATCACCTTCTTCATTTTAATCATCTTCTAACACTTCACTAGCATTTTTATTTGCGATGATTTCAATTAATTCTGGTGGTAGTATATTTCCCTCTTTCCCTATATTACCTAGCAAACAAAAAGCCCCTAAATGTATGATAGTATCACTGTACTTAGTCGGATTTTCCTTCTTTTACAAAGGTCACACATATGAACTGTTGGTGTACATCTCTTGAAACACTTGAAATGTCTAGAATTTTCTGAATAGCGGCATTATTGTACTTTGGGCATTAAGAGGACGCATGTTCTCTTCTGTAGAGGATGTTTGATCTTGCAACTTAGAGGTTAGAGAGATCCAGTCAGCCCAATGTGGAACAATCTGCTTGTCATGAACACATGAACCAGAGAAAGTCAGATGAAACAGCAAAACCCGAAACATTTCCTTTGTCGAAATTTTAGTGTCATCATCATCATCTTACGGCTGTTCTCTTTCTTGAATGACAATTCCGTGTGCACTATGGGTTGTTACTTAGATGGAAAAGGTCCCAGCACAAATGTGTTATCAAATTGCTTATTGCAGTAATTTCATCAGGGAGAACAGTGTCCTGACCAAGAGTAATGTTACACAGTTTCCAACTCCAAAATCTGAGAGTATAACTGACGATGTCCGAAATGATTCATTATATAGTGTCTTATGCTGTCATATGCCGTGTTGCAAAACTTTTTGTATAAATCATAAAACATACATTAACAACTCAAAACTATGTTTAGATCACAAACTTACTCCGTCATAGAGAAGATATCTGAAGAAATTTTATAAAACTTATATAGAAAAAATATGATTCAAGGGAAATAATCATTTTGTTCTATTGGATTCATGGTAAACATTTCAGCTAAACAACAAGAGCCAATCTCGATAGCGCATACCCTAAGCTTTCAATACTATATAGGTGTACAAAATACCCAGGGGGGGGGGGGGGGGGTTAGGGGGAGGGGGGGGGGGTAGCTCTGCGTCTATAAAGTACATACTGAATGTTTACTGAACTATTCATACTGACCTTGACTGTCGTTTTGTGATAAAATATAGTAAATTACGTAAAATATTTATATGTTTATGCAAACTGATATAAAGAATCGTTATTATATAAAGAAGGAAGTGTAAAATGATATAAGATACGATATTTCAATAACAATACAATTATATCTTATTTTGTTGATATCACATTACATTACAATAAGTCAGTTATCATTTTCATTAAAATATATGGAGTTTATTATCTGAAACAGTTTAGTGATAATAAACTGTAAAATTCTTTTTGCGGCTATATCCAATTTAGAGGTATTCAAAAATTGTCTACTTACGTCTGTAAGAAGACACTTTAAGATAACTGTTACTTATTGCAGAGCTATAGTTACAAATTTAAAGATGTAACTCTTAAAGGGATACTACGGCAAATCAATGCCAAATATATTAAAATGATCTTATGTACTCAAATCACGCTGAAATGACATTGTTTGAAGTCCCAGCATAAATTTCTGTATAAATTCAGTTTACTTTGGTGTTGAAACGTAAACATATGTATATATTTTGAACGGCATTTAAATAGCAATAGAATCACCGAATAGTTTTAAAACAAGTCATGTGACTTGAACAAACCCTGGAAGTTACAATAACAGATATTGTGGATATTGTCTGATTGAAACAAGTCTAAGCCATTCATTTGACATGTTCTTTAAGTTTCCAGAGTTCACTGTGACAACTATTGTGAAATCTTAACGCTCTTACCTGACCCACGCGGGTAAAGTTAGGAAACCACCATTTTATTCTTTACACACACACACACACACACGCACGCACGCACGCACGCACGCACACACACACACACGCGCACACACACACCAACTAACGCAAGCACACACACACACGCCCGCACACATAATCATTTTTATGACATCTTATTGATTTGTTTATCATATTTTGTTTTAAGGTAATAGTACAATGATGGGAAAGTTTTACAGCCAAGATCCTCGTCAGTATTTATTCTATTACACGTGCTACTATTCTACAGACCCGGATATTTGTGACGTCGACTATCTTGATATTATACTCCGAAAAAAACAACACAAAGGTAAGATTCATCTATACAGATGTTTTAAAAACTTTTATTTATCTCGATGTAACTCATTTTTCTAATGAACTAATATAGATCCATTAGAAAAAAATAACTATTGAGCCCCATAATATTACCTATAATATAATATTGAATTACGGGTCGGAAATATAGGCGCCCATTGAAAAACCCATTTAATCAAAGAATCCATTTATTAACATTTTTAAATCAGTAATTTTGGTGTAAGGTAACACAATTTTAAACAGCAATGTGGGGTGAGTGAGATTGAAATGGAATTTCCTTTCATCGGCTTTTATAGTATAAAATTGTACACTAAATAACCAACTCAACTACAAACTAATGGAAGGTCTATTGTGTACGTATGTTGCTGCCATTTGTTCTTTAAGTACAGTTTTAAGCAAAATAAAAACCTAACTGAATGAAAAGCATCAAAAATATTTTCAACAAATTTCTGCTTCTGTACCCAACTGTATACATTTATTAATTTTTGGATACAGACAAACAGACGGACGGACGGACGGACGGACAAATAGGCAATAAACAGGCACACTGTTTTACATTTGAAATTCGTATGAATTGTCAATTCGTGGACTCTTTTTGTAATGACAAATATTTATTTATTTATCTATCTATCCATTTTTATTTATTGAATTTAGTATCATTTATTCATGTTCACATATACATAAAAAGACATAACAAACATGAACAGCCATTCTATTGAAATTTAAAAAAAATGTCCTAGGCATTTAAAAATGATTCTGTTGATTGGAATGAGATACACCTGAAAATGAAATGACGACTAAAGTGAGCCCAAGAAATAGTAATGTGATAAGTAGCGATTCCAATTGAGTAATCATAAACCAATACATTTATGAGTTTAGTTAATTCTTAACCAAATTATTGAAGCATTAGCAAATGTGTTGGTTTTTTTAATATAAGCCAAGTAGCACCTAGGGCGAGACATATTTTACCGCAGGGATTAGATTTATATAACACTTGTAGGGGACACATGTCATCTATCTAAGCTCAGGGCATTTAAGTTTCTTAGAAACTGCTGGGGCCTAAATAAACAACACACTGGAACCAGTTATATAACGTGTGTACAGGACCACCTAAAGATCATTCATGTGAAGTTTGGTGAAAATTCATCTAGTGGTTCTGGGGGAGATGTTGTTAAAAGAAATTGTGGACAGCGACGAAAAACGGACACACTATCGTCAGACACGCTCAATTATTGCCACTTTGTGCTCAGGTGTGCTTTGAAAATGACATATAAGAACGAAAGATGGGATAATTTATTCATTGAATATTCTAGATTCTGCGACCAATGAACTGGATTTGGGGCAAGTGCCGTGGCATATGATAGCTGCAGACTTGAAAAATATCTATAACATGGAGTTTACCAATGACAAAGTTATGTTTCAAGCTAAAGGACCAGGTAATAACTTTGAAAATGAGTAAAAAATGTATATGCTCTAAATGTTGTTTCAACTCAAAACAAAATAGGGATATAAAAGGAATATTTTGACCTGGTCCTCAACTATCTGATAAGACAATATAGGTTGCTTGGAAATTGATGTGTTTCGCTTTCTATCTTGTATTTTTTATTATAAACCCGTGCATTGTGAACACCGGTCTTACTGACGATATTTGAGAGATCGGTGTGTATACAATGCACACCCGTGCCGATTTTGCGACTCCGTAAATATGGTATTGCACGGCCGTGCATATATTTTGCGTTATAGAGCGTTGAGCTAAATGGTAGGATTATACTATAATAGGCGCGTCAATGAAAAATGGTTCTTTTTCACTTCAAACGGTCTTTATTTTTGGTATGTGATCAGTAGAATATTAAATTTGTGTAAATTAATAACTGCATTTATTGAAGTCGTTGAAAAACAAAATAATATTTGCCAGAGGCTCGCATAATATACTTTTATATAACCCGTTCAATAAATTCAGTATTAAACATACACTCATTTAATATCCTTTATGTATTTAAATCGTTTCTTAAAATGAAACCATCCGTGCTTCAGAATTTATCTACTATTATATTTAATTGTTTATAAATTTAAATCATGTTTTCTGATGTAACCATGGTATATTTTAACCGGGAGAAACATAAATAAGGTCTATAATTTCGTATTCGGAATTCTCGAGCATTACTACCTCGTCTGGATAACCTGTCTTTGTATACACACAAAAATAAGATAATGGCAGGGCGTTAACGAGTTAATATCAAAAGGTTTATATGTTTACAATAGATGCTGGGAACCAGAATTATTACTAATTTGAACTGACGTTATATTCTACTAATTGATCAGAATTTTTTATTCTATGTACCGAAAGTATATAAAGTATATAATGAAAAGAAAATGCGTGAGTGTACTATTCCAAATGCGTTCCCTTGTTTTCTATGACCCTGCATCTTCTAGCAATCAAATTCGAGAATTACAACCAATAGGAATAACACTGTAATTCTTTAATAAATTTTGTTTTCATTAAAATGTATTTGAAATAATTGTTTTTATTCTACAGTTTGCGATTTTAATGGAAACATTGTAACAAACGCTGCTGGACGATGGAGACTTGAACATTTTGTATTGCTGATTGTTTTGCTGCCGATTTACATTTACAATATCCCAATGTATTATTAAAATATAAATACTCCAACAGAATGACTAAATGGCAAACGGATGTAATGTTTTATTAAAAAATGTTAAATAAACTTACATGCGCGCGTGTGTGTGTGTGTATAATTCATAGCGCAATAGACAAAATTACAAGATATATTTGTTGCTCTTACCTAATGTAGTAATTCAAATGATTACATAAAGCATGTGCGCTTGAATAAAGAACGAGGTTCATTTCCGTAAAGGTACATACATAATTAGGCGCATACTTGAAGCATTACTGATTCATTATTTTCCTGTTTTCCATCTGTAAGAAATATCAGTGCAATAAAAATATACAATTTAAAAGGTATTTGTCTTAACTTAGTTAATATGATTTGGTCCTACGAATTTATTGCATAGCACTTGCCTGCTAGAAATGTCACTATTTTCTGATTTTAATAAGAGTTTGTTTTATCAACTATATACATGTATAGCCTCTGACTTCATTTTTTTCTTTTTCTACAAGTTCTATCCAAACTTTTCAACAATCATATTACTTGAAACATACTTGCGTTTTTATAGTTAACATACGAGTACATATTCATCGAAGCTGTAATTAAGCAAACGGAAGATTTAGAAATTCGGTATCTGTATCCGTTTCATTAAATGTTAACATGAATGCAAAACAAAACGCCTCCTATAGTTGTATTTTTGACATACGAGTACATGTAGTTGTTTTTTTGACATTGTTGTATTTTTGACATTGTTGTATTTTTGACATTGTTGTTCTTTTGACAAAAAAATATACACCGCTGTCTTTAAGCTGTTTTTTTTGCAAAGTCATAATTATTTGTTTAAGGAAACGTTGTTTTTGATTGGTCGGCTATTACCATATATCCCGTAATGCTTATAATAGATTTTCTAATAATTCAGTATATTTCGAGCATAGTGCTAAAAACAGCATATCTTACACCTGACAACAGCAAAACGTGACACAATATTGTATGTACACAAGAATAGGTGAAGATAGAATGTAGATGTTCGTTTTTATATCTTCCTGCCATCTTATTGAAACTCAATTTATACTTTAAAACCACGTGTGTGTCTAACACATTTACTTTACTTTACTAAGAATTTGGTTTGAAAAGAGCAAAACATATGTTCTTATATCATTTAATCAATCCATCATATCAGGCATTATTTATACTTTATCACTCTGGCATTTTCTCCAATCTACGGCCTTTTGTTTCAGAGAGTAGATATATTGAATCAAAGTTGATTCAGAACTAATGTGTGATAAAAGCCGGCCACTTGTGGAGAAATTGGGTATTAATTGTTATCAGAAACCCAGTAAGACTAATTATGAGATGGACTTACCGCCGAAATATGACAAACATGTGTTATAATCGGCGTACAACACACAAATGAAGCCTTATATTTAAAATTTATTTATTGATGCTTCAAAGGGATTACTTTTTTTCCAGATTTCCGGTACGCACGCACACATGACTTCACAGTATGTCTCTTTTTTGACATTCAAGCTGTGAAAATTATCACTTCTTTCATTTCTTTTATTTTTACTCAAGTAAGCATAGTCACTGTATTTTATGTGATATGTGGTGAATTATTTTTATAATTTGTATCTGAAATGTCAAAGTTTTAAATGAAATATATAAATTATTAACAAATTGTCTTTCAGCCAATTTTTGTACACATGACGTCAAAGTTGACCATCAAAGCCCGTTTTTGAACATGACGTCGTTGCGTATCCTTGGCAACTGTTACGGGTATTTCAACGCCATTGGCGGACAAAATATCTTAAATCCTACAGCATTCGACGGAAATTATTTTTTCCTTTAAGCAGATATAAAATTTATTGTTTTACGCCGAAAATTGTTTGAGTAATGGAAAGAAAATTGTCAATTTTGTGTAAAAATTGACGTTCAGTTTAGCCGCAATTTTCGGCTTTAAAGCGGCTTATTAAAAAATTCCTGAAATAAATTTTTGATTTTTTTCTTTAAACGTCCTTTAAAATGTATACTTAGTCAAAATAACTAAAAAAATTAGGGGGTCACCGACTCAATTTTTTCGGTACACGTGATTTTATTTCCCCCACCCCGGGAGTAATTTTGTAACGAATTTCGAGGTACGCAGATACGTTTGAGACTTCAAAGTGCGGCAATAATGTTCAGCTTATCAGGAGAATTGTTCTAGAGTTTTACTAATACATATAAAACAACAACAACAATGTTCCATTGCAAATTCTTAAAATTGTACGAAAAACAAACGATTTTTTTCTTGTTTTTAAGCATGATTAATAACTTCATAAGGAATTGTAAACATACGCATGTAAAGAAAATGACGTCAGGCGTTCTCGTTCTACGGCAAACAAAAATAAATACAGCTGAGAGTAATCATTTGCGGTGTTCCTTTTTGATATTGTAATACAATAAGATTAATAAACTTGAATCGAGAAATATGCCTTAAGGAACAAAAAGCAACTATATGTTTTTATGTAAATTTAGAAATTTTCGGAAATTCAATCATAAATTAATACGTAGTCTACAAGAAATTCTGCAAATCTATACATTTTGCATTACCCACACTATGAGTGATATACTGTGAGTGATATGTATTTTAATTCACCTATTAAAAACCAGAATTTGAATTTCACTTGTAATCAAAAACTATTGCAACAATTTGACAGAATTGGCGAAATATTGACAAATTAAAATATACGGTTCATAAATGAAACTTAGTCAATTATATTAGCGTGAAGCAAACAGTCATGCATGAAACGTTAGCTCAGTGGGTGTTGGATTACAGATGTAGCACGTTCGACTCTACAAGTATCTGTAATACATATTCTCTCGTTTTGCTTATCATTTTAGAATATCATAATGTTAAAAATAACAATTAATTGAGGATTCACCATAAACGCTGTATTAAAAACATTACTATCAAATCGGCCTTTGCAATTGCAAATATTCATTATTCACTGTATAGCCAAATTTATGGTAGAATTTATTTCGAACAGGACAATTTAGAAACAGCACTTTAAACATGAAATATAATGAAACGCTGTATATACACGTCTGCGGATTTTAGCGGACCGGCGGCCCTGAGCAAGATACTGCACAAAGGAGTGTTGCGTTGTAAATCTTTATACAAAATAAAGATATTTCAATATATATTGTCATTTTTTTTGTCTGTACATGCTACGGGCACTGTAGAGGACCTGTCGATGTTTCACTAACTATTTAATCAGTATGCAACTGACATGTTAATAAAACACATGTTTTATACATGTTAAATATTACATTTTCTCAAAGTTTTACTATTTAATGTTATTCTGACAAATGTCAGATCAGACTATTATTTCTTTCCTCTTGTAGAAAGTGGGTAATTCTGAAGTACATCTTTATTCACTGTTTTATCTACAAAATCTGTATTTACAAGAATAAAAAACCATATTTTGGTAATATCTGATCGTGTAATTAAAAAAAATACGTATTTTAGTAAAAACGAACTTCATTTAAAGTTCCCGCATATTACGAGTGTACGGATCACGGTATATTAGTCATAATATACGGTCCCGTACATCAAATTTCACTTATTTTTACCTGTCTATCTATAATATACGGAATTCCGTACCCTTTATTGTATCCATATATTTTCCGCAGTGGTCATAATAGCGTAAAATGCCGTAAAAAGCGGGATTTTGACACCGGGCGATCGTTTTAATAACATCAAAAAACCAAACGCCCCGTGATAGCGTGACTTTTATCCAAAGGGGGGGGGAATAAAATCACGTGTACCGAAAAAATTGAGTCGGTGACCCCCTAATTTTTTTAGTTATTTTGACAAAGTATACATTTTAAAGGACGTTTAAAGAAAAAAATCAAAAATTTATTTCAGGAATTTTTTAATAAGCCGCTTTAAAGCCGAAAATTGCGGCTAAACTGAACGTCAATTTTTACACAAAATTGACAATTTTCTTTCCATTACTCAAACAATTTTCGGCGTAAAACAATAAATTTTATATCTGCTTAAAGGAAAACATAATTTCCGTCGAATGCTGTAGGATTTAAGATATTTTGTCCTCCAATGGCGTTGAAATACCCGTAACAGTTGCCAAGGATACGCAACGAAGTCATGTTCAAAAACGGGCTTTGATGGTCAACTTTGACGTCATGTGTACAAAAATTAGCTGAAACTATTGAAATAAAATCAACGAAATCCAATCAGAAATATGGTCAATTTTTTGCATGCCAATTTTCAAGACGCTACTCGAAAGTTCGCAAAGTGTCGCGTTCTACCTTAATTTCATCTTTAAGAAATATCAGTTCAATAAAAATATACAATTTAAAAGTTAATTGTCTTAACTTAATTTATATTATTTTGCTTATACGAATTCATTACATTGCATTTGCCTGCGAGAAATGTTACTATTCCCCGATTTTAATATGGGTTGTTTTATCAACTACATGTATATACATGCATAGCCACTGACTTCACTTTTTTCTTCAAGTTATATCCAAAGTTTCCAACGATCATATAACATGAAAAAAACTTGCGTTTTTACAGTTAACATACATATTCATCGAAGCCGACTCATTTTCACGGATTACAGCTGTGATTAAGCAAACGGAAGTTTCAGAAATTCGGTATTTGTATCCGTTTCATTAAATGTTAACACGAATGCAAAACAAAACGCCTCCCATAGTTGTATTTTTGACATACGAGTACATGTGGTTGTATTTTTGACATTGTTGTATTTTTGACAGTGTTGTATTTTTGACATTTTTGTATTTTTGACATTGTTGTATTTTTGACATTGATGTATTTTTGACATTGATGTATTTTTGACAAAAAAAAAAACATACACCGCTGTCTTTAAGCTGTTTTTTTGCAAAGTCATAATTATTTGTTTAAGGAAACGTTGTTTTTGATTGGTCGGCTATTACCATATATCCCGTAATGCTTATAATAGATTTTCTAATAATTCAGTATATTTCGAGCATAGTGCTAAAAACAGCATATCTTACACCTGACAACAGCAAAACGTGACACAATATTGTATGTACACAAGAATAGGTGAAGATAGAATGTAGATGTTCGTTTTTATATCTTCCTGCCATCTTATTGAAACTCAATTTATACTTTAAAACCACGTGTGTGTCTAACACATTTACTTTACTTTACTAAGAATTTGGTTTGAAAAGAGCAAAACATATGTTCTTATATCATTTAATCAATCCATCATATCAGGCATTATTTATACTTTATCACTCTGGCATTTTCTCCAATCTACGGCCTTTTGTTTCAGAGAGTAGATATATTGAATCAAAGTTGATTCAGAACTA